ACCTATATGAGGTGGGTTTTGACTGACACACACTCAACACTCGGTTCCAATTTTTGTCTAGTCTGTGCTTGAATTTGACAAAACGATAAGCCAGTCACATCAGATATACAACTACTGCCCAGACAAGCAAGTGCAGAACACACACCTACACTAACACACACGTTCAAATTGGTAATAATAAGTTCTGCCAGAATGTTAACACGCTGCTTGTTCTTTATTTGATAACCACAGACTTCTACTGTGGAGCTAAACAGTCACGAATCAAACAAAAGTGAAAGTGCCATACTTCTCCATGGTCTGCAGTTCGTCTGCAGTATATTATTGCTGCTATAAGCATTCATATCTCAGAAAGCGCACTTCCTGTCAATCAGTCAGGTCTAGTCTGATGAAATATTTCCTGATTTTCCATTATTTTGTAACACGAATTTCACAATAGCTCTTCTGAAAACATCCAAAAGTTGGTGTTATACTGATGAAAGAGAAATATTCCTGGCAATCAGGGGAAATTCTGTTCTTTTGAATACGCTACAAAAATTAAGAAATAGATACTTGTGTCTAAGTATCTGTGGTGGGTCTAACAGATGGAAACTGAAAAAGTTAAAAAATTTAAATATGAAAAAGGTGTGGGTAATTTGCTGTCAGTGTTTGTGTGTGAAACAGATTTGAATTCCTGTAAAAGGAAACAACACAGAAAGTTCATTCTTGAAATATTAAACAGCAGCAGATCAGTCTTCATTGAAGGTCCACTTAACCACTTGTTGAGCTTTCAACCATATCACATTTTCTTTAACAGCAGATATATAATATATAAATATTATATGAAACAATAAAGGCGTAATCTAGAAGAGCAAGGAAGACATGATCACACATGTGGCTAAAAATAACTCTCTTCACGCCCTGATGAGAAAAGAATGTTAAATGGCTCAGTTATCTGTTCATCAACTTGTGTGTCAGATGACTACTTGTATTTTCTTTACCACAGTGTTATGCTTTATTTCATTTCTTACCACTGAGATGATTCATTTGGTTTTGTCCTTACTTAATGCTGTCACCACAGAACAAAGTCTGCCACTCATTAGGTGTCACTGGACCAGTAGCTGGTAAAAGTGGTCAGTGCACTTCCATACCATCTGAAATAAACTTGGCATGGAAAATTACAATCTTGAATATAACTTTTTGACACAAAAGCGTAATTGACTCTCTCAGTTTTTAGAAAAAAATGATCTGAGTTCTCTTCCGTGAAACATGATAGATGCTAAACTTGAGCAATTTATTTTTTCACGAAACATTTTTTTTAGTTGACACTGTAGTAGAAAATGTTCAAATGAAATGCCAACATATTTTACTTTTTTTATTGTTGTTGGTTTGCCTATAGTATGTAGGCTTGTTGTCTAGTTGAACCGTTAAAATGTGTCATTCACAACAGTAGACCAAGTTCAACAGAATGTCATGTGTAGTAATATAAGGGTAGAATTGCAAGACGCCCACTGTTCCTTTGAGTGATTTTTGTTGTGCACTTGGTGATCTGCTATCAGTGGTAGTCATCAACTATTTTCCATCACTTTGCCATCCGCCATAGAGGAGGAAATCAACCCACAGTTTGATGAGATATGATGATTCAGCATGGTTAAGGTTTTCTGACACACTAAAAAAGGTGAAGCTGTGGAGCCACAATGATTTGTAAGTGTCACTGGCTGTCACTGAAGTGGAAGTGCCCTACCCTGCATTTCTGCAGTGTTGCAACTAAAGGCACAAATATGGTAAATGGCCTACCTCTTTCTGTATCCAGCTTGATTGAGTTATTTATACAGGGTGGTGGGCACTGAAGATAATTCTCATGCCTTTGTGTTTGAATAAATTTAGGTTAACACAAGTTTTAATGTCATCTGCATAGAAACCACCAGGAATATATCCAATGAAATTCTTGTTCTTGTTAAAAAGGAAAATAGTTTCTCTGAATGGTGAATCTTTATGTCTACATCAAGACAATACTAAAAATATGCATCAGACCTCAGAAGTAGTGCTTCCAACCTTGGGGTCAGGCCCCCTCGAGGAGTCACAAGATAAATAAAGACAGGAAAGAAGAAGAAAATCTCTACTACTTCAAATCCCACAGGACTCTAAAAGGAGCATCACTGATTGGTTGAACTGCTCACAGATAAGACATGTATGTATCTTGTGTCAAAGGATAACAGAAAGACATGGCTCACTAGCCAAAAAGGCTTAAACAGTTAAAGAACGGTGATGAAATCATCTGTACAGTTTAAAATTAGAGTAAACATATGAGGCAAACAATATCCTGTGTACACTTTATAAACAGCACCTTATGTCTCATCAGATGTGGATCACCGAAATAAGCTGGTTGACTGTTGCACTTTGCTTCTATCCGCTTTGATGAAATTAGTCACCTGATATATGCTTGCCAGGAAGAATAGCACTATTGTTAACAAGAACAAAATGTACCTTAGTGGGTTAAAAAACAAGAACTAAAAAAAAAAAACACTCAAAGCCTCTTGTCTTTTTAGAAACAGTATCAGAGTTATTCAGAATAAACCACATAACTCACAGTGAGCATTTTTGAACAGATCAAAAGGATAAATACACACTTTAATCCATTCTTTGTATTTTGTTTGTGTTTTAGTTTTTTTGACAGGTTCAAAACCATCATCTAAACTCTTTTGATGCCAAGTATTGCCCTTACTACAGGGCAACTTAAGGGCAATACTACTACTGCAGTTTACTGTCTGCCATTTGGTGCTGAGCAGGTAGCATGCAGTGGGATTTCTGTTGCCTGCTGTGGTCAAAAAGAACCCTATGAGAGCGGTGAGAGTGAATCAGAACAGTAGAGTTGTGGTTCTGGACAGCTAAACAATGAGCTCAAACTTGGAAAAGCTCTGTAAAGCTGAATGAAGCTGCAAGTTATCAGTCTGTCACTATCTCTACTACAGTTTTTCACAATTGTTTGTTTTCACAATGTCATTCACACATCATATATTGAATATTGATTATAGCTGGGATGATTATGATGTGAATACATAAATCCACCACAATTGCACTCTTTTTAACATTATGTAGATGTCAAAGAACTGTTTCACAAGCTTAATGGACCAGTCATGATGACACGCTGAACACTGAGCATTTTTGCATTCTCTCAACTTTCCCATGGCCATGAAAGTACTGTTCAACCAAGCATGCAATATTAAGGGTGTTGGCCACTGAGAAATCAACTCCCTAACCTCACACGTGCATCTACTGCACCTTCTGTAGTTCTTGAGTGGAAAGTTTGAAATAAACCCACTTCAGCATTCTCTTAACCACAAAAATACCACTATACACAATGGTGAGACCCCTAAGGGAATCCTGAAAAGCACCACATAAACACCCGCACCTAAGCACCCACAGAAGCACTGGCTTTATATGCGGTAAAATTGTCTACACTGTTCCAATCTTTGTCATAGGGCATCGGACAAGAGGAACTATGTCATGTTGATTTACACACATAATCAGGTTAAGAAAAAAGTGTGTGCATGTATGAGTGAATACATAAGATAATTATAACTGTAAGACATTAAAGAAAAGGGACATTCTCATTCCAGGAGTTATTCTGAGAACTGTATGGGTCACTCGCTTGGTTTCAGTGCATATAGAAACTTCCCAGTCAACTTCCTGTCTGTCCTTACATGACTCACTCCATGTTTCAACTTCTGTGCGCGCATTATTTATAGATTTTAAGATTGTTGTTCATGAGTTCTCTTTTTCAATTTTAAACTTAAACATCGTGACACTGCAAATGTGTTCAACATTTGAGCTGTCTTTTTGATCTTAAGAGCTGGATGGCACAGCGTTTTCTGCAACTGAATCAATCTTTTATTCATCCCCTATTCCTCGAAAGTTACACTCTACTCTGGCTTTCTACTACTTTCTGTCATCCAATATCAAAGGGTCTGCTCGCAATCTGAGTGTTACATGATGACCTATAGTTTGACAACCAAGTTTCCAGGGTGGTACAATCGGGCTTTCATCAGTTGAGGACAGTAGCTAAAATTCAATTATTTTTTAACAGTTTCAGACCTTGAGAAATAGTGGCTGCCAGCTCATTCAGAATACTGCTAAGCTTTTAACTAGGAAGTAAGATCAAATCACTCTCATTCTTGCTGAATATGTTGCATTCTTTAAAAAAAATATGAATTGGTCATATTCTATATCTTTGTTAATCTCAACAAATTCCACGAAAAGACAGAGACACTGCTTCAGTCAGTTCCCTTAAATCTCAGCCCCAAGCAAGTCTTTGAAAACTAGTAAGAAATATATACTTTTATATATACTTTCATTATTTTAAAAAAGGATAAATAATTATCTAAAACAGCTGGGCATTGTAGTTTTTTTTAGCAAACATCACTGGGGTGGGAGTAAATGCAATTTTTGGTTCTAATGTTGCGTACCAAAAAGAGTTTTCAGAATTTCAATTTAGGGAGAGGTGTCTTAATTAGGAAACATTATGATACATTTTACTAAATCAACAATAAATAAAATGTTTTAATACGTCATGGTGAATATTTCGGTTCAAAATAAAATTTGGTTCCTTATATTTATGATGAATATTATTATTAGGAAGCTTATCCCTTTTTACCCCATTATGGGCGGTCCTGTCCTTAGCTCATAACCCGACATATTAAAGAGGCATCTATCTCAGTAGAACTGGTATAGCTAAATCTTTTGACAGCTAACACATTTCTTTTGTTCCAGATTATATTATTGTCAGACTGTCCACCATTGATTAACGGTATGAGAATTTTCCCTATTAAGTCTATCTATAACTCCATATACATCTTACAGTAACACACAAATCCTATCCCACTGGAATATTACAGCTGTGAGTCAGCTACAACAGTAACTGAGTCTGTATGCTTATCCAAATGGCATTTAGGTGCCTGTACCAGCAGGTCCTAGGCGTCATAGGTATTACACTTTTCCTGTTACGTTAAGGGCGAGAGCTGGAGGGAATGGTACTGTTTACAGACACCGCTAAAGACTATTGTAACTCCTTGGAGGACAAAACCAGGGATGTTAAAATGCCAAAACTTTTGTTTTCAAAGATTCGTTTCTACGAAATAAAGGATCTGATGCAAAATGTGAAGCGACCAAGGAGGTAAGCCAGAGAGACTAATAATATTACGTAATGATTTCAGTAAGGTGAACAGGCTTACTTCTTATTTTACATTTACTATTATTAAGTAGCAAAAAACTTAAACTATTTGTTTTACAGAATTGATATTGTTCTTAATCGAAAAAGGCATAAGAAGGACATCCAGTGCCTCATGGTACAAAAAATAAATGATGACCAACATTCTTCAAAACTCAGGTAATGTATGTTGCAGTATTATAGATATCTCAATCTCTCACTGTTCATTATCGTGAAAAAGAATACTCAAATACCTTTTTTTATTACAGTTGGCCGACTAAACTCCACCCAACTCTGGAAAAGTTGCTACAGGATAAAAGTAAGAAAGGTTCCTTTTTTAAACAATTGGGTGCTTATTTGCAGATAATAAAATACCACAAATTAAATGTCTTAATTAAATGTAACTCTTTATTATTAAAATTAAAATAATAAGATTTGAACAATGAATAATTACTTTTAAATCTTTCCCACAGAATATTTAGCAGCATTCCACGCATTCCTGCAGTCTGAGTTCAGTGAAGAAAACATTGAGTTCTGGCTCGCATGTGAAGACTACAAGTCGACCACCTCACCGGATGATTTTCGCTGGAAAGCTGAGGAGATCTACCAGGAGTTCATCCAGCCTACAGCCTGCAGAGAGGTGGGTTTGTCAGGGTTGATGATTCATAGTGGAAAGAGAGAGAGCTGGATGAATAGCCAATAGACAATAGAAAACGATACACCCGTAACTGATATTACAGAACAGGGGAAAGCATTATTGTGTCAGCACAAGAGATGGTACCTCATTATCAGCAAAAAGAATGAGTAAAGGATTCTCAAAGTTGATGAAGCAATATGGATGACTACTAAATGTCACAACTTCCACTGCTTATAGAGCTGTGTGCTGTATAGTTTTTCAGTGTTGGTGCACTAAGGTGAAGATGCATCCTCTGAGTGGGGTTCAATAGCATTTTCAAACCTGAATCGTGTGGGAAATCTAATTATCAAATATGAATCCCTTGAATATATCAAATCCATTTACATTTCAACAATTTCAAGCAACTAAGGTGTTGAGTAACTTCATATTTAAGAGCTCTTTTGTGCTGTCAGTTTTTTTTTAGGCGTATTAAATGGATACCTGAATATTTTGTACATTATGCTATGCTAATTGAAAAAAACACATACACAGGGTCAGTGAGTGTGGCTTTAAAGGTCCCATCCAGTGACTGTGACTAAAAATGCACAAATTAAGCTAAACAAAAATGTGCCATGTCAGTTTAACATCACCATATAACATTTTTACAATGAATTTCTTGTTGGCATTTTATACTTTGTCTGCAGTATATGTGTATGTTGCATACACGATCAAAGGTATCGCTCTGGTTGAAATTCAATTTGCTAAGGAAGACTGTGAAATAATGTTGAAAGCTCTAGAAAAACACTACTAAATAAACCTTGAGTTAAGATTTTTCTACATTGTTATGGGGTGTCATTCATTTTATATGTACTGAGCGTTATGTTTTCTAGTTCACTCTTGTTCACTCCAGTTTTCTGGAAGGAAAAGCCAGATTTTCGAGCTCCTACTTTCTTGGTACACAAATGACCAAGCAAACTGAAACAATGAGTGATTGTATGAATAATATATTTGCTGTGAATGCCGCTGTATTCTACACAATTTAAAGTATGCTTTCTCTTTGTTTCCTCTCCAGATCAATGTTGACCACCACATTAGAGAGAAGATTAAGAAGTCTCTGGAGGAGCCGAGCCTCTCCTGCTTTGAAGAGGCCCAGAAACATGTTTACATGCTGATGGAGAGAGACTCTTGCCCCAGATTCCTGCAGTCAGATGCCTACCTGAGTCTCAACCACAAATCCAAGACTCTTTGGTACATTTAGCCGAGAAACAAGGTCATCAAAACACTGCATCAATGCCGCTTCTTTTCTAATTCTCACTATTTGACTGGGAGATGATGTTTTGATGAGATGTTGTGGGAAATTTTGCAGGATGCACACCATGAGAGAAAAGTAATGTGAGTGGAAAAAGAAGTATGTAGGGGAGAAAGAATGCTGTTGGTATGTGATGTACTTTGATTGTGCAGAGTTTGGAGTTGTTGCTGTAAATGTTAACCGAAAGTCTTTGTAAGTTAAGATACTGAGTGTACAGTATGATAAATGATAAGGAATGATAAATAAATTGTTTCTGACATGCAGAATGAAATGACCTAGTTTTCATAAATAGGCAATAAATGCAAAGTTTTTGACTAACTTACATGGATACATTTGAGCGTATGATTGTGGTAGTTTCGACTCATAGTCTATAACTATTCTTAATATTCCGACTATTTCCATATAGTCATATTTTGAGTTCTTATTTAACTGACTGACTGTCTCACTGACGGTGTGGGGATGGGCATGAGTCAAAAAAAAACAAAAAGAGAACAGTTTCCACTGCTCACCCAGCAAGGAGATTCTGTTTTTGGTCACATGTCTGATATCCTCTAATTAGGTGCAGAGATGACTCCACACACCAGCAATACGGTTTACCAAACTGGAAAAAAGTAACCCCTTGGTAACCCTTGATCCCACTCGGTTCTGTAAATGGCCTTATTCCCAAAAATTGTGCCTTAAAAAGGAGTACTGAGGCAGCTAATAATAACTCAGGGGCTTAAACGACAACACTGGAGTCATCAGACAACCTGATGCGTAACAGATCAGCCTGAATGTGCTGCCTTGTTAGGGGAATAATCTCATCACCCACAGACAATGATGGCAGAGAATACACAACTGCTTTACGTAGAGGCTTTACATTCAAATAAAAATATAAAAAGTGGAGAATACGCTTTTTATATTTCATCTAAATAAAGATTGATGGTATGGATTGTTGTTACCTTGCCCTAACTTTGGAAGCTTGCTTTTTTACCTCTAAGCAGTCTATCCAAGCGTAATGAATGGCATGTTACAAAAATGAAATATAAGGGAGGCTTAAATTGTAGTTTAGACCATTTATTCTCATGTTGTGCCCATGACACACTCCCCTGCATCACTCCAGAATTTGGTGAAATGGGAATATAAGTGATATTTTGAGCACGAGTAAGCACTACATAATGCAATTCAAAATATTTATTGAACCTGCTCTGGTGAAGAGACAAAAGAAAATGGATGTGAAAGAGGTGAAATCCTAATTTTAGTTACATTTTATGAATAAAATGTCTTTACTGCTCTATCTTTTTTAGTGCCATCCCATTGCCATCTCTTCTTAATGTTCCCAAAACTTCACTTATTCAAAATTACTGGCAGCGAAAAAACATCTTTTGTGAATCTCAGGGACTGAGGTTTGCATCCTGAATTGTGTGGTGAGATATAGGCAGACAGACAAACAGACCTTGGTTAAGATTAGTGAGAGATTCTGTTTTTTGGTTCAGTCTTGTCCTGTCTTGTGCTTCAAGTCACTGTTTGCTTTTTCAATATTTATTTTAATATTTTAGTTGCTCTGGGCAGATACTGTATTGCAAGAGCGAGTATTGTAGGATAAAGTTTTTTTTTAACAAAATCATGTTGATGAAAAGTGTAATCCAGGCATTTAATGTTGCAAAACAGTCACATGTAAATGCACATTTTTAAGACTGCATGCTAGAACTATTTGCAGGAATCACAATAAACAGCTAATGAGCTTTTATTATGCCGAGCCCCACAGTTATTTCAATGTCAAACGTCAGTAACTCTGCGTACTCTGGGATGTCAGGGGCTGTTCCTTATACATGACAGAGGTCTCACATCACATGGCTAACTATTCTTCACACACAATCTGTCATTGTTTTCTCACAACCCAGCACAGTTACCATGGTAGTGAAAAGGAAGTGAGTACTGTCGATGGCACGGTGTTAGTCAAGACAGTCACACTTGGGGAACTTACCAGATCTGAATACTACAGGCTCATGTATTGAATGGTGCTTTCTATACGGCTGTGTTTCTCCATATAGTAACCCAATAAAATATAAAGGGACAGCTTTCAGTTCACAGTGTTTGGTGACTGTTCGTAATGCCTCAGTACTTATAACCGTGTTTGGGCAAAAGATGGAGGGCAGCATCAGTGAAGCCAAGCCAAAGGACTGATTGTAACAGAATGGCCTGGGGCATCAGATGGTGAGCAGGAGTGACAGAGATAGACTAAAAACATATCACAAAACTCCTGTGAGGTATTTTTAATTACCTTCTGAATTCTTCTTTCTTTTCCTTCTCGTTCAGTTTTCTGCCAGAATCTGCCTTCTTCTATAAACCTATTATAACAGAAGTGAGGTTGGTAGCGCTGGATTGCATTTACTCTTCTTGGTTTGTCAATATAAGTAGCTCTTTGAGGATATAAAAAAGCAATATGTTTGAATCAGACATTTCATCTTTACTGGAATAGACTCTGAACAAAGTATTTTATCTTACAATAATTTAAATCAAGGGTAATAGATCTTAGATCCTCATGGTTTTCTATAAGCACCGACCATAAAACTGGCTGAGCGTGACACTTACATGTTGCATTTGCATAGGACCTGCACACCTCTGACGGTAAATGTTCAAATTTATTCACAATACCAAATATTGCATACGACAGCAAGACAGTGACACCATTCTTGTCTTTTTTTTTGTCTATCTACATGATTGCTTTGTGAGACTATAAAGCTGCTTTTATTGACTGACATTTATTTGGAAAAAATGAAAATAAATTGCTCTGTTAAGTGGCCAAGAATGAGCAGAATGATGCATCTCGCAGTAAAATTTGTAGAAACCCATCTGCCCAATGTGAAGTGAGAGGCAGATGGTGTGATTCTGTTCTCCTCACTCCACTCTAAGCTTTGGCTAGAAGTGTGACAGAAGTAGTTGCCAGGATCTGAAGTCTTTCCTTCTAAATATATAGCAGATTAAACACATGATTTTTACCCCAAGTGACTATACCTCTATTGGATGCATGTATGCTGTGGTACTCCTTAATAGAAGGAAACAAAAGTTCAACAGCACAGCCTTGGATTATCAGTTCAGTACAAGGCCCCTAGCAGATCAAGTCAACTAAACTACCAAGATTTTTTGACACTGACATTTTGCATAATTGCTTTTGGACTAAAATGGTTTATTTGGTGGGGGCCATGTTGGCTCAGTAGTTATCAGCGTAACTGTCGCAACACAGTCAGAAGGCCATGGGTTAAAGCTTTAGCCCTGGTGTTTTCCATGTGAAGATTTATAGCTGTATTACTACACTTAGGACCTTTTGCTGCCTAGATTCAACACCTAGCCCCAAGCTTTAACCTTAATCCTCAACATGAGACCTCTATTGGCCTTACAGTGAGAGCAGCACTTCATCAGCACAGTCGCAGTTCTCTGTCATTATCTACTAACTGGAGGAGGCAAAATAACGGCACTATCTATAGAGTCACTTTTAAGTTGTGAGAAGACAACATTTTACTGCTGCTTTTTTTGTAGTGACCTTAGGCAAAATGATTGTGTTTCCATCTTAGAGAGTCAGTATGCTTCAGCTGAAGTGCTTGTTCGATTTCCAGTGTCAGAATTTGGGGGACTGCTTCCAACTATTTCTTTAACTTGAAAAGGACAATCTGACATTCACACCCACTTAAAACATCGATTGGCTCGGTGTACAGAGGTGTGAAAATCGTCTGGGTTTAAATTTCTCTTTCGTTTTTCTTTTTTAATTTTTCACACAGTTTTTTGTGTACTACCAAGTGCAACGCCAAGAATGCATTCGAGGAGAGACTATCCGAAAAGTGTGTGTCATTTTAAAAATTTGAACGTTTCTCACATCTGCCCCCGCCTTTAAGATAAGATAGAAATTCAGGATTGAATGCTGAAGCCTATTAATTCCCACAGCTGGTTCTTCACTTCCAATCATCTGCGGCAGCCTCTACTTCAATGCCAGACAAAATATGTCTTAGGGCAGATTTGAAGGAAACATAAAATGTCAAGGGTCAGTGCTACCAATGCTAATTTCAGCTAATGCTAGTCACTCGCCAAGAAACTGTCCAGCTCAGTACAAGTTCTCACACCACAACTCGATTTCTGGCCCAAGCTCAGTTATTTCTCTTCACCCCTGTCTGCTCCCAGTCCCTTAAACATCTAACAGGCTTAAATATAAAAGGCTGTGGTCCATCAAATGTGTATGAGTCAGTGTTGACATTGGCATTGGGATCCATGTTCATTATTGTAGTAGTTGACCTTGTCGGCCATCCCATTTATGTCACAATTTCTTCAAATTGAGGTGAGTTAGTCTTACAGAAATGAGTCTTAAGTGTGTATAACAATATATTTCAAAAAATCCACTATTTTTTTCAAACATATTAACACCCTAGTATTGCTAATCTAAAAACCTTACACTCAGAGAATGTGAAGGTTCGCAAAATGTCCTCCCAAGCCACAAGCCTTTCTAAACTTCATTTGAATAACACTGAACATGCATACTTGCATATGTTACCCTCCATATAAAGATTTCAGTTTGAGCAAATTTCAACAATAAAGTAATAACTTTGTGGCTGAGACAAAAGAGTGGTCATGATATGACATTCTGACAACTTCCTGTCGCCTTGCAGAGCCTCTCTGTTGCAATCAATTTGCTGTTTCCTCTTTCTCACGTATGCAGCATCATGTTGCATGAATTTACGCCATATTTTTGAATTTCCCTTTGTGGAATCAATAAATGTTGAAGTAAATAAATGTTTCCTTACAAAAATCCAAACGAGACAGAAGAACAATCCTACCATTTGTAGGAGGGCTAGAACCTTCCAAACTACCAAAACATACAGCTCGCAAAGGTCACGATTTGCCTATCACAGCCGCTGTTACTGTAATTTGCATCTGTGCTGTCAGACTAAAAATAACGTGAACACATCATGCTTTCAGTCACAGAGGGTGCTGATTATTTTGCTCATCCAGTTAGGAGGAGGAAAGGATTTGCAACAGCAGAAGGAAAAGAGAAAAAGAAAGGAAGCAGAGAGACATAATAGGGAGTAAGACATTAAGAGGAGGGAGGCATGCATGCAGCACAGTGTGAGTATGTGTTGTTTCTAACAGTGAGGTAGGAGGAGAGAAGGAACAGAAGGAGGAGGAAGGGGTGCTTCCTCTTCAGTCTGGGCTGAGCTGCTGATGTATCCCAGCAGCCCCGGTCTGTAGCAACAGGAAACCTTGGTATATAAAGCCTCATTGCAGGGGGAACCCTCCTAAGTGTCTCTCAGCCGCAACATGACCAGGACCGAGAGCCTGAGAGTGTGGACTTAACAAAACAATGCCCAGCCTAATCGTCGAACCACTCAACACACAGCACTTCATCATGGACAGAGATGACAGGAAGAGAAACAAGAACATGTGAGTGAAACCTTTACTTTAACGCTAAGCCGGGGTTTCCAGTAAATATGCTGATCGTCGCTTGGTGAAAAATCTTTTTTGTGAATGTTATTTGTTTGATTTTAATGATCAGTTCTCACAACAAACCTTTCAGACACAAGAGCACACATAGGAATATTATGGATGCTTCATGGTATCTCCTGAAAATAGTTGAAGTTAATAATGTCATCTAGCTTTACTACACCACACGCTCTCTTTTCTAATGACTAACATGCCCAACATGCTTTGACCGATTCACTTGAAGCTAATTTAACAGCAGTAAATTCATCAGGGATATACTCATGTATTTCTTATCTCTACACAGTGGAAAGAACTTTATGTGCCGACTCCAGTGCATGTTCTCACACTCATCAAGCTCAGAGAGGTAAGGAGACTTATGGAGTGTTTTGCATACATTTCAGTTTTAAAATAGCCAGCCTGCTCCTATCATTTCCATCTATGGCATCATGAAAGGATTCAAATGAACTAGAGACACCATGTTTGCTTTGGCAGAGCACACACGCACGCCAACATATCCCATGGTTTGACATTTTTATATGAATTTGATAAGCACATCTGCTATGCTTTCTTGATTACACTACTTCTGTGTCTTTGTAGCCCTTGCGATTCACCCCAGCATTATTTTACCCAAATTTGATTCTGGTTGAGTAATCTAACTTGCATTCTCTCCCAGCAGGCTAAGTTTAGAAGATACCCAACAATGGTCACAGTCACTGGAAAGGCTTCTCGAGTCTAAATGTAGGTTGCTTTTCCCCCGAGGATGAGAAAACTGCTAGAACAGCAAATTGTGTTTGTTAAAATGAGAGTTTAAACAGGATAATTGTTTTTTAAGAAAGCTGAAAGAGGGTGTTATCTGTGCTTCATGTTTGGCCTGTTTCCTCTTTTCCTCAGATGGACTGGCTACTTTTCGCAACTTTCTCAAATCTGAATACAGCGATGAGAATATTGAGTTCTGGCTCACCTGTGAGGATTACAAGAAGATCAAGTCTTCATTCAGAATGTCCTCAAAAGCCAAGAAGATTTATGAGCAGTTCATCAAAGCAGAATCTCCTAAAGAGGTAAATTCAACTTTTTTACATTCAGACACAGACACTCTGTCTCTCATACATATACTTACATCTTTATACTGCTATACCAGATTGAAAAATTAAGATGTTGAGCACTGACAGAGTGTCAAATAGGGAAAAAGTGCCTGCTCAAATGTTGAATCTCAGATCCCTCACTCTTGGCTCAAATCCCCTCATTCCTATCCATCTGCCTCATTCCAGATCAACATTGACTATCACACCCGAGAGCAGATCAAAAGGAACGTCAAGACTCCCACCATGCACTGCTTTGACGATGCTCAGAAGATAGTTTACGGGCTGATGGAAAGAGACTCGTATCCACGGTTCCTCCGCTCGGACATATATAGAACTCTCCTGGAAAACCTCGCCGCTGACGCCACGAAGGGATGAAGGCGTGCTCTCTGGGGAGAGAGAAAGGACATAAAATCCATAACTGGAATGTTTGAGCTCCTTCAGGAGGAAGGACTAACAACAAAGAAGGAAGGAGGGTCGACCTGCGCGCCACACGGACACATACAGAGGCCTCACACCTCGGCGGCATCACTAGATCCAGAAGCAAACTGTGCCTTAGTCCCATCACGGGAGGATCCCCCCACAGAGCACTTCACACCTGAGGACGAAACATGACCAGCCTTAATGATAATGACCCTGTAGTGTGTGTTTGCACTGGACGATAAGTCCATGTACGTAGGCAAACTGACCACTTTTGACAATGAATGAATCAGTGGGGTAACTGACGCCCGCGCTGACGGTGGAGCTGCGTAAGCAAACCATGCAGCGGACCCCCTTTGGCCTTCTTTGCAGAGGTGTTTCCTGTGCAGATAAAGATAGAGGATGTAAGATGCAACGGTCACACTCGATTTGTTGTGTGTGTGTGTGTGTGTGCGTGCGTCTAGGAGAGAGAGAGAGAGAGAGAGAGAGAGAATTTAGTTGTAGCTTTTAACTGTCACTGACACAAAATAAGCTGTGTCGCAATAAGAGTTGACCAATTACCACACATTACAGCACTAAGGAAGCCAACAAATCCTTAGCAGACACAGGACTCAATAGTGATATGTCATCCAGACTAAAGGGTTGCAGGAGGCCACTTAGTTCTGGAAGAGGCCTTCTGGGACACTTTTATTTTTTAAATTTGAACAATATGGGGTTTTAAAAACTGATACTGATCATTTTAGATTTAAGCTGCCTGTGGATAATATTTTGTGCCTATATTCGATACCTGTAAGATTGATCGTTTTAAAACAAAAAGTAAAAGTACTTATACTTTAGGTACTACTTAGGTATTTTACTTTCTAGGATAAATATATATTTTTTGTGTGGAATCGGAACCAAATTCTGCACTAAGAAGTTCCCATTTACAGCCGGTGACTTCAAATTTAATTCCTCAGTATATGACTATCGGCCATCCTCTTAGTCTAAACCAAATTCTTACAGCACTGCAGTGTCAAGAGTTGTGATTTTATGTAATAAACTATTTGAGTGGAATTACCATAGAGATAGAATGTTTCACCTTGCATGGTAGGATGTTAAAACTCCATGTACCCTGAGAATATGCCTTGTTCCTGCTTTCTAAAGCATGTTGTTTGAATGTATTCTTAGGTATTCTTAGGAGTTAATTTAACTTAAAAGTTAAACAATGTATTATTTATTGTTAATTATCACCATTTGTGTACAACGTTTGTTGCAGTGTTGAAGTGCTTGTTAAACTGTTAGTGATTTGAATGACATTAAATTATTTAAATTGCCAACTTGGGACAAACTGAATTTTTTTAGTATCACACACACAGACACTAAAGTCTGTAGTTTCTGCTCTCTGGTTTTTCACAGTAGAGCTTTTAGTCCCATGGTCTTTTAAAGAAGACAGCAACACACTTGCAATGAAATAGATCTTAAAACATGGCATTAGAAAATGAATGGGATGTTTGCATAACGATTGTCTGTTATATGTTTAAAGCAATACTCCACCGCATAAGTTTGGAAACATAAAGGCTGTGCCAAGTTCTGGTGGGCTGAAGACTTATTTTCAGAGTTATGGAGAAGCAACTACAGTGCAGTTGTTGGCAAGATACAACACTCCATCTTCCTAAGTGACAAAGTATATATACAGTATATTTTTTTATAAATAGAGCTCCTGGTTGCTCATATCAAACATTTTCAGCATTGGTTACCATCATCAAGAAGGTTCAATATGTGAAAGTGAGTTCCGATCATTCACACCAAATAAGATAAAGATAATCCACCCAGTAAAAAATGAATCTAACATTAGCTTGTGGCTTTGAATTTCAACCTCTATTTTCAAACTTAATGTGGAATTTAAAATAAAAATGATCCTTGTAATATTAAAGCTATTGGATGCCTGGAGTTTTCTGCTATCCTTTTTTATCACTGAAAGGCATCTGTTGACTTGAAAATTAAATGCATAAGTGATACATGACGTTTTGGAAACAGGAAGGGCTGGACTTCCAGTTTCTTATGAAATCAGTCATTGTGAGAAATGAGATTTTCTCTGAAATGCAACCACATGGCATAATGAAACACTGCTCTTGAAAAGACGTAATGAACAGATTTGCTTTTGCTATTAGTTTATTTTGCTTACAGTCATTCAAATGTAACAGAAGGGAGAAAAAAGTCATGTTATGGGTTTGGATAGGGCACATAACTGTGTGTGTGTGAGTCAGTCTGCGTTTGGGTCAAAAAACATTGTAAGAAATCAATCACACTTGTGATTAGCCAGAATTCACATGGCTCAAAGCTGTAGGATTGGCACAGGATGGGAAACCCTCAATTAGTGATTTTATATTGTTGATTTTGAACAGTACAGCACATTGGAGTGGTATCACAAGCAAGAGGATGGACAGACTCCATTTTCTGATCACTTATACAAGAACGTAATGACATAACTTGTTAAATATTGTTTGGTCTCATTCTGAGTGTCCCTCACAAACTATACAAATACACAAACACAGAGACTCAGACATTTGAAATGTGAGTGAAACAACCGAACAATGTACTTTCTCTGTTCTTTACTGGAATGCTGTCCAGCTGAACAGGCTCAATTTGAACAGATTAACCAAAAAATTCACAGCCTGGTTCCAGACTGCATGTGAACTATGTGAAGCAAATTATACATTCCAACGGAAGTAAATACTACAAAACATCAAGAAATTACAAGCACTGCCTCATTTAATTTTTCAAAAAGCAAAATTGTATCTTATTCTGAAACGTTCATTTGAATCTCTTAAAAGTATATAACTTCTGTTAACCCCCATTTTAAGGTTTTAAGGTAATCGCCACACTACCAAGGAGAAGACTCAGGTGAGATGGAGACCAAGTGATGGAAAGAGTAACAGAAATCTACACTCAAGTAGAAGTATTGTTACATTACTGACATATACTCATCTAAAAGTAAAACTAATGGAGTGAAGCCTGCAAGCTAGTTCAGGCAGTCAACTCGAGCTGCACCGCTATACAGACGACATGCCTCACTCCATAATCACTAACCAAGCACACCCTTTCAGTCTGTTTAAACTGTACAATTTCCCAGCTCTTCCAAAAAACTATGCAGGGTAGTGGATGTTTAATGCATTATCAATAGCAGGCACACGTCAAGTATGCCAAATATTATTCCATCAAAAACTGTCAAGTAGCTAGCAAGACAAGGCTCAATGAGAGTATTGTTTGATGTTTTAAGAATACAGACAGCAATGCATTGGTGAACATTAGCTCATGTGGCTAACTGTAGCTACATTGCCTACATCACAGTATAAACTGAATGGCAACTCTGCAAAAATACTAAAACATTTTCAGAATTTGGACCTAACCTCCGCCTTTTAAATGCTCAAAGAAAGAAGGAGTAAATTGGTAGAAGTGCGTATATAGTGCACCATTGGATCATAACAGAGCATTCCCAACATAAACAGACACAGCCCATGCTTGTGTTAAAAGTTTGTAAACCTTTGCACATGCTTAAGCAAACAACAGCAGGATAGCACGCAGGTACAGTCGGCACAATCACAGCAACAGTAACTACTTTTTTCTCCTCACAAACGTGCCTGTGTGTACAAACACACGCGACATGGTTTGCATGGTTAGGGATGTGGGATGGACAGCAGCTGTCAACACAGCTGCAGGTGATTTACTGTAGCACAGGTACAATCTGTGATTGATGAAATTGCTCCCCCATAAACAACACAACAAAATAGGGACAACGCCTCACATATGAAAAGTGAAAAGTGTTGAGCAACAATGCTGCAAAAACATCCTTGTTATATGTTGCATTCTTGTAATTGATAGGTTTACATTTGTGATGGGGTGTAGCCTCCATCTACGTACAGATAAACCGGTCCTAATGTGTTAATCTTTGTATCTTGTACAGGTGGATTCTTTAATGTCAGCTTCTGTTAAAAGGGAGGGGAGTTCCCTGTGTGTGTACTTTCTGTAACAACTTCCACGTACAACATACACACATACACACACACACACACACGCGCACACACACAAACCTTTACATGGTTAGAATTCATTTTTGTGCAAGTTTCCATGCCAAAGCTATAACTGGTAGATGTTGGCTGCAGTTCTTCATATAAACACGTATACAGGTTAACTCGGACACAGAGGACTGATGTTTTTATGAGTAATTGACAATATGAAGTTAAGTTAATGTTGCTAGTTGCTTTCATTTGATAATCTCCAAAAATTAGATCACAATTGATGCAGCTGGAGCATCCACGTGTTTAATGCCTTTAGAGTGATTTATAGCTGTTTACGGTCTCCCTTTGCGCACCACCTTCCTATCTACCAACCCTGGAAAATAACCTGTTTGTTTGAAATCATGTGCTATTTTAAATTTATGTGAATTACACAAATCTCCAACATCAAGGTGTCAATTAAAGTAATTAAGCTTTTAAGCTACTAAACCTTGAAAACCTTACATTGATTTTCAAAGAAACCAATATATAACACATTTAATGGGTAATTTGATAGCTTCAGCTTTGGCACAGGTTGTCTCTTGGAAAAACCCTATCAGGTTTCTCTGGAACGCACTGCAGCTTCACTGTCAAATGTACGTTTTTCAAATTGCTTCTCAATGTTGGCTGTTTGAGGAAATCGATCATCTTTCCCTCTTCCTCGAGTGGAAAAGAAAGGCTAGCGTATGAATAATGCAGCCTGTTGTCCATCCAATTATTACACTGTAGCAGCTGATGGTTCTGTAGGTGAAGAGGTTTGCCAACTTGTGAGTCAACTGGCTGAAGCCACCAGGAGAGATGGCCAAAAATGACTCAGTGGGTCTGAGAGTGTTTTTAGCTAAATGAGCAACTGTCTTCAGTGCATGATAAGTGCCTTGTGGCGAGGAATTATGCCCTTAGTTAAACTTGCTTAAGTGTAACCGACATAATGTCACTCCCAAAGTTTACAGATCCCTGGCAGCCATACTTGTCCATCATTCCTGATGCTGACAATGAAAAACATCCATTTGAAATGCCTAGTTGATGCCAGAGGGGAGCCAAGCCAGTGATGATTCAGAAATTGAAATATAAAAAATTTAATAAATCATTGTTGTACTTGCTGTGTGTGTGTTTTCTTGTTATCCTGGCCCTGCTGTCTTTCTGGTACTCTGCCCTTATACACTGCTGGATGTGATAGAAAGAGCTCAGCTTTGTTTTATAATACAATTAGTCTACTTATAATAATGATCCTTTGAGGCAGGACCAGAGGAGAACACAAAAGGCACAGAACAAAAAGGGGGATGAATATGTTACGAACATAATGAAAGGTTTTGAGGTCACACCTGTGGCATAAAGCCCAGAGGATAATAATGATGATAACAGCGAGGGTGAAGGTGATACAAGTAGCAGTACAGTGTTATGGGTGTGTAATGACAGTTACACACCCATAACAGGTTTCTAAAGCACTGTAGCCTTCTGCATAAACATTGAACTCAGGTAACCAATTATAAAACAGCCGTGTCCTTCTGGGGGTCGATATTAATATCCATTAATTAACCTCTGAATGACAGTCGTAGGTGGCTATTATCAAAGGTGAGTTGAGTTCACTTAGCTTAGCGTTAAAACTGTAAACGAGGGGAAACAGTTAGCTTGGTTTAGGCCAAAGTTTAAAAATTTCACCCACCAGCACCTTAGAATGAGACGTCTTTATCTACAGAGGGAGCGGGTCCTCTCCGATGGAGGCCAGTCTGTTGACTCGCCATGTTTCTATAGTAGCCCAGAATGGATCATTGGCTCTTGAGAGGGCCGTTGCGTTTTTTGCACATTTCCACTGTAGTTCCTCCTTTGTGCTTAGAAGGGGAGGGTGACACGAGCAATCTACAAGTACACCTCTAGATGCCACTAAATCCTACATACTGGTCCTTTAACGTCTTATGGCTCTAGCTTCATCCTTAACAGACAGATATGAGAGCGGTATCAATAACGCTCTGCAGGGAAGCGAATAAGTGGATTTCTTTTTTGACCACATTATAATAAATAATAAAAATAGGATTGGATGCACAGCCGTATATGCTTTTAGCTGACTTCATTGCGTATGCATGTGGATATGGAATGTTTTTGGGTTTTTTTTGTATTTCTGAGAAGTTTTTGTATTTCCGGACTGGCCAAATAGGGGCTTGTATTGTATTAACGTAGGGAATGTTCTGTGTTTATTAGTACTGTATATGTATTGGTGTAAAAGTAGAGTAGAGTAGTAAACAGTTCATTTTTACTGGCTTTGGCTGGCCCCAGAGCAATATAATATCCTCTTGTATTTCCTTTTCTGTATGTTTTTATGGGTGTGTTGGGATGTGTTGTTGACTGACCAAATGACCCCCTGTGGATCAATGAAGTTTATGTTTTACGACAGTCCGTGGCCAACTATGAGTTTTATCATTGTATGTTGTAAGAGGATAAAAAAAATGATAAGGATCAGGATAGACAAATTTCCACTGTAAAGCTTAAAGCATGCTGAAACTTGCAGTCAGCCAGGAAAAGTATTATCTTGCAGTTGAACCTTCATATGAGACGTGACCTGATTCAGCCTCTACCTAGTCAGCTATTATGGTGACAAGCTTATAGCACTGTACTTGTCACAGTATGTAACTGTACCTCTATTTCACTTTGGCCCCTAAAAGGCTCAGTGTGCTTAGAAAAGTGGCAAAAGGCAGCTACTGTAGTGCCTGCTGTAACACCCAAACAACCCAACATAAAAGAACATGTATCAGTCAGCATAAGGACGTGTTGCCATCTCATGACCAAGCATTGCCCTTGGCAGGAAAGTCAGTGTCTACTGTTCCTGTCTTAGCCTGCCCAACATTGTAAAGTACAGGAAAGGGAGGTCACAGTCAACACACACTCTTTCACCATTGCTGGTCTTAGTATACATGTACACAGGAGGAAGCTAGAAAGAAATAGCACTTAGGTTATTAGGGTATCAACCAACATATGACCATTACAAAGACACACCCTCACAGCAGTGGTAAGCAGGTTACACACTTCACCAGTCATGTTAATGCATACTGCAGGTGCTGGCAGTATGCTCTGAGGAAAAATTACATATTTTCTTCAGGATCCATACATGCAATGTTTTTATAGTATACTGTTGTGTCAACTAGTGTACATTCCATTTGTTTTGTTTGTGGCGAGATTTTGTACTAACAGGAAATGGTTTAAAACTTGTGCCAACACACATCAATCAAACTCCGACTTTGGAAAGACACATGCAATTAAATGTTAAAAAAAGAAAGCAACTTCAGAGACTTAATACTTTCCTTGTCTGTGTTCTGTGTTCTTCCTGGAGCTGGCTCTCCACACTCTAAGATTTTTTTTCATTTCATTTCTTTGTGCATTGTAGTATGGGACAGGGTCAGAGAGAAGCACACTAAAGCAGATATGTTATGCATAACAACATTTCTGAGTATTATCAATTTCTTTTATACACTACGCACCTAAAACCTGTTTGTACTGCTTAACTGGTA